GGCTCGGCTTTTTTGCGAAAAACTGATGCGACCCTGAGTAAGAGCAGTAGAATTAACAGGTTTAGCAGCGATTGCCACTTTCTTGTTGTTCTTCGACTTTCCCATTGTCAGTTTTGATGCAAAAGGAGGAGCGAGTTTCGTTTCGCTACAGAAAATCGTGTAGGCGAAGTACCGAAAGTGATGTTTTGAGGACCCGGAGATGCGTGTTGTTTTTGTATTTTTGTTTTTTTGGAATATAAAGACGGCAGCACAGCTTTGTCAAACAATTGACTGCAAGGTACAGCGAACTGATAGCCCTTGCAGCTCGTTTCTTCATGAGGAGCCCCCAGAGAATGAATCTAGATTGGAACCAAGAGCCATTAAAGGATGGGGGAGTTGCCCCTGGTGGTGCCAGGATTTCTCTAGGGTTCAGCAAAACAGGACCAGGAATGAAGTGGCTTGATGGCAGCAAAACTGAAGGAAAATGCAGTGTATGCACACCGCTGCTCTTATCACGGAACTATAACAGCTACGCCCGGATCGCTTGCCTTCCACCATGACATGATCCTAGATCTTCCAATGCAAGCTGACCTCCAGCTCATTCAACAACATCGACGACAACTCATTGACAAAGAATTGATAAGAGCAAATTGTCGTCGATTTGCCTATGATTACCAACCTGGACAAGAAGTTCTAAAGCTTCGCTATAAGCCGAACAAACTCGAACCTCGAGCCGATGGACCATATTGTGTTGAACGAGTCCACGCTAATGGTACCCTTACCATTCGACTTGCTCCTCATGTAATTGAACGCGTCTCTTTACGACGAGTCAAACCTTACCGACGATGAAGTGGTTTCATCCTACTTGCAAGGTTCCCTTGTATCTCCTTTGTCGGGTCCTCTGGAATCTAGAGGATAACCTTGGGTGGCAGAATGTCGTGGCTCACATTAGTCCACTAGTCCAACTAGTCGAATCATATCAGTCGAATGAACATCGATTACTCTTATATGAGTACTCCTACAAACGCCCCCTTACTCAGCATCTACAGTAGTCTTGTCAAAAGCAATCTTGCCAAATGTCGACTACTTCTATCACCTATGCTACGAGCCAACAATGATGTGGCAATGAGGTGGCGACAGCCTGACGAATACATTCTTATCAAGACTGCAGTGGAAGTTGTGTGTATCCAGTACACACCTTCTCTTCTGATGTCAGTATGGCTACCGCGTTCTGCCCAGGGAAGTAGTTCTCCATAAAGCCCATAATATCTCTTTAGCAATCTTTCAATCGCTACTGTGCCTAAGTTAGTCCTCAGCCTTTTGCCGGACACGGCAGCGTGTCCCGGTAGGGTCTGCAGATTGGTCAGCAGAAAAGCAGACATTACTGTACTTGCCGTGAATGCCAAGAATAGAATGCAGTGATATTTAGTAAGCAAAGCTGCCCTGGGAAAAGAAGACGGGCCACTTTGCAGACAACCAATTCAATGCAAGACCTGCAATAATCTACTGTACTATTCCAAAATGCTATACGATACAAATGGTAATATCTTTTGAACGTTCAAGTGCTCATTGCAGAACGGATCCTGTCACTATTCACTCTGATCTCAAATGCCGTGCCACAAACAATTGGGCGAGGTCAGGGTCAAGGCCCATGATTCCGCCTCTAATTTGCTTCTTCTCCATGTTTGCTGTTGCATGTGACAAAGATAGCAAATCGATCCTTGAAAAGTCAGTACGAGCCCGCCCACCAAGGCTTTCGTACCATGATTTGCCGCTTTCTCGAACTCCTGAGCTCAGTGCTTCATAGGCCGCCTGAACACTCTCAAAGCGAGAAGCTGCTGCTTCTGCGTCGGAATTATCGTCCAGTCGATCTGGATGAAGTTTAAATGAAAGATTTCGATATGCCTTCTTTATTTGTGATTTGTCGTTGCCGTCTTCTCCTTCAAGTCCAAGTATGTTTCGGGCCTCGGATTTGGACATACCCTTCGTTTTACTATTCTCTTCCACCACCTGCTCGTAGACATGCTTGAAAAAAGAGTCGATTGGCTCGGCACTATATTGCATATCATTTCTTGCTACCGAAGAAAAAAGCGGAGCACCCATTCCCGCAACATGAGAAATCTCACGGCAATATGACGAGACAGCTGTTTGCAAAACATCCTTGCTATTCTCCTCGTCATGGTAGCTACTTTCGGGGTAGGAAACACAAAGCTGAGCAATTGGAACCCAGTCGTCGATTCCTTTCTTCGAACTGCTTCGTGCAGCAATCATAAACTCGCTTGTAATAGTGTCCTGGTCTTCGGCATCAGTTTCACTCGTCCAGCGAGGATCTTCGTCCTGTTTTGCAAGTCTCTTGGCGGAAGCTAGCATCATAACATCGTACTTTTTCTCCAACCTGACGACTGATGCACTCAAATCGAATGGTGCTTGCTTAATTCCTTTCTTCTTTTTATTATTATTCTGTTTTGATGCGGTCGGTGCACCAAACCCTCCCATCAACTGCATAGACGTGTCCCTTGTATCAATCATCTGTGGCGGCGTGAATGAATGCACCAGATTAGTGAAATTCAACAGTACAACAACTAGTACATTGTAGCGACCTAGGCAATTCATTTTGTAATTTTGTCGTGACTGTGACGAAATGCTGTTCTGATGTTGAAAATGTTGTTACTTCGTTCTCTGCCAGTGCTTTTATGACTATTTTGGGTGGTTGTCACGGGATGATTGTATGTAATGTGACGTCATGTCATATTTACGACTCCTTCGACCGTGCAAGATATCCAACCGTTAAATGTCTCTTCAGACAGTGGCACAGTTTTGTGGTTCTCGTACGAGCTACCAGTACAGTATCCGATAACAGCCTCCTTGAACAACACAAACTTTGGTGGTCTAACAGCACGTTTTCTTGGTGATCAAACGTCAAATCTTCCAGCGTAGTGAATCATTGATTGCATTGTTTTGAAGAATATCTGAAGTCAGCAAGTGGTCGGCCTTCCAACATCAAATTCGGAAGCCATTGTAAATCAAGAATAAGTACCAGAATACGTAGATTGTACGAAAAAATCTTTCAATCAAATCGCAATTTCAAAACCAAACACAACGAACCTTTTCCCTTCTGAAAAGATATTTGAACAGCCACAATGGCATCTGTATCCCAGAACCCATCTCAGAATGGCAAGTCAGTTGTTTCCGGCACAGGAACATACCGTGATGGTCTCGTCGCACCCTCAAAAGACACTCGATACAAGACAGAAGATGTCACAGATACAAAAGGACGCGAATTCGAGGATTTTTTTTTGAAGCGAGAACTATTGATGGGCATTTTTGAAAAAGGATTTGAGAGACCAAGTCCCATCCAAGAAGAGGCAATCCCAATTATTTTGCAAGATAGGAACGTGCTTGCACGAGCGAAGAATGGAACTGGAAAAACTGCAGCTTACATTATTCCGTGTTTAGAAAAGACAAATCCAGAGCAGAAGACCATCCAAGGTAGGTCTCCTAGGTTGCAACTCTGTTTTTTGCTATGCTGTCAGCCCTCGAAACTCACTTAAATGAATCGATATCACTCGCTTTCACAGTGATAATCCTCATTCCAACACGAGAACTTGCTCTCCAAACATCGGCAATCGTGAAGGAAATGGGGAAACACATGGGCATCCAATGTATGGTGACGACCGGTGGAACATCTCTCAAGGACGATATCATGCGTCTCTACAATACAGTCCACATTATCGTGGCTACTCCGGGTCGAATTCTTGATCTGTCCTCAAAAAAAGTTGCCGACTTGAGTGAAGTAAAAACAATAATCATGGATGAGGCCGACAAGCTTCTATCACCTGAATTCCAACCTGTTTTGGAACAAATCATTAATAATTGCAATGAACAGCACCAAATCTGTCTTTTCAGTGCCACTTTTCCGGTGACAGTCAGGGGCTTTTGCAAAAAGTTTGTCCCCAATCCATACAGCATCAACCTAATGGACGAACTCACGCTACGAGGCATCACCCAATTTTATGCCTACGTCGAAGAGAGACAAAAGGTCCACTGTCTCAACACGCTCTTCTCGAAATTAGAGATCAACCAAAGTATCATCTTTTGCAATTCTGTCAACCGTGTCGAACTGCTGGCGAAGAAGATTACCGAGCTTGGCTATTCCTGCTACTACATCCATGCCAAAATGCAGCAAGCAAACCGGAATCGTGTGTTCCATGAATTCCGAAATGGAGCCACAAGACACCTTGTAACATCTGGTAAGCTTTCTGATCGACGAGAGCGCGCTGTGTCGAATTTGATGGTTCAACCTAACACCCTTCTTTCGCCGACAGATCTATTCACAAGAGGTATAGATATTCAATCCGTAAACGTTGTCATTAACTTTGACTTTCCCAAAAACAGTGAAACCTACCTTCATAGAATCGGGCGATCTGGACGATTTGGCCACTTGGGTCTTGCCGTCAACTTGATTACCTACGACGACCGCCATTCTTTACGACGTGTGGAACAGGAGTTGGGAACTGAAATTCGCCCAATTCCTCCAGTTATCGACCGGAGCTTATACGTCGGCTAAACTGCCCCTTGGGAGAGTGACGACTGGGTGGTGTGGGGTGGCCCTGAATTGAACTTGACGTTTGGTTATGTCTGATGAGGGGATCCCCTCACCACCAACTCTCTCCCAATTTTTTTGACGTCTGCGTCTTCGAGTTTCAAAACTCGAAAACAGAAGTGTATATTTTATTACAGGTAGTAAGAAATAATCGAAGACTTATCCGTTGACGTTGTCCTATTCATAGTTAGTGATGCCGTTGGGCTAGGAAGGAATAATGAAAGAAAAAGCCATTGTTTTCAGAACAAATCGAAAGAAGGAGAGTCAAATGCATCTTCCATGTACAAATTCAAGGTCATCGGGTTTTCATCTGAAAGGTTGAGCACTTCGTCTACTGTCATACCTGCAAAGATTTCACGTGAGAATTTGATTCCTGTTGTTGCTATCTCTACCATCAGGGTCCTCTTCCCTTGGGTCAATAACTCGACCTCATCTGGAGGGAATGAAAAAACTCCAGAGGCTTTATTGAGTTGAGCCATTGCCATTATATCCTTCATCGTTTGCTCTTCCCTGTTCTTGAAAGGTGCTGGAACATCCATGGAACAATCATTTCGAGTCAGCCGAAAAGTACGAGACACCGTTGCAGACACAATAAAGTCAGAATCGCCAAATGGAATTGGGTTCTCTACGCTGGGACTGATAGAGGTGTCGGGCATAATTACTTCCAACGCTGCATCCATTTTTTTCTCGTCTGCCAAAGCTTCCCGATGCCAAGATGACAGTATCTCGCTCACCCCAGAGAAAGTTGTAGCGACAGAGTCTGCAAACTCTTGTGTCATAGCATCGGCGAGATAATTATCTGCTCCAATTGACATTTCGATAACTTCTTTTTCCGAAACTTTACGTACAAAGTCTTCCAAGTTCAGGCTCCTACCTTCATCTTGTTCGATGCTTGTTTTGGGTAGCTTGTCTCGAATCAATTCTTGCGCCCATATTGACCTCATTCTCATGCTCTTTGCTGCTACAATATCTTTCGAAAAATCATCGCCAATGTGGACCCAATATGGGCCTACGACATCTTCAAGATCATCTTCATTGTCGGAGGCTGTCCTCCCCAGATCCTGAAAATCTGGATGTGACACGACATACCGAACAGCGTCTAGGAATACCCGTCTATCTGGTTTAGAAACACCAACGGACTCTGCATTTACACAAAAATCAAAGTAGTCTTTCAATTCATCCACATTGCGAGGATCTGAGTTTCCATCTGTTATTGCACCAATCAACAAAGGTGTGCCATCGTTTGACCGAATTGATGATATTCGTTGCAAGCATCCCAGAACGTCACTGGCAAAGTGAAGTGGTATTGCTTCGTGTCTTGCAGCAGTCCAGCGCTCGAAGGCTTTGTTTGCGAATGTTTCAGCCTCTTCTTCGGTATATTCATTCGAAGTCATCAATACCTCCTTCAAAGCGTCTTTCCGGAGTTGTGTCAACAACACTGGAGCTGTTGCGTTTTCAGTCCGTGGTGCATATACCTTTTTGTTAGCCTGGAAAAGTTCTCTCATTATTTCCTCGATACGTTTTGGTTGTTGGACGTTGTGTTTGTCTAGATAGGACGCGAGGGCATCATTTGCTGCACCAATGCATTGCTTCGTTTTCCACAAAGTGTTGTCAAGATCAAAAGTGACAACTCGTACAGCACTTCGTATCATTTTGTTTTGGTCTATCAGGTCTCCTTTTTCTGCTTGTCCAGCTTCGAAGTACATTTGTTCCCAACGATTCAAAGTCGTTTGCTCTTCGTCGTCTGCTGGCCCAGGTGTCGGAAGTAGTGTATTGTCTAGTGATAGTTGTCGTTCAGTAACACCTCGCTCGATACGACAAGAAACTCTCCACCTTCCTATCTGGCTCTGCAATGGTTCTGCTGGGTGAAAGAAACAAAAACTAAGAAAAACAAAACCATAAAATACCATTGGCTGTAACATCGGCTGAATCATTGTCTTTCTCTTTTTTAAAATTCTCTTTCTGTCGTTTCTGACTTTTGGGGGAGACGTTCTGAAACAACAATGATGGGGAAGAATGACGACCAGATCGGGTGAAGGACAGACGAAAGTCTCATCTGCAGCACATGAGTCATGAGGAGGAAGCTGTGCAACACAAACCACACACCATTCTCGAGGTTGTTGTGCAACGTTTCGACCTGCTTGACAGTGACGAATAGTGCGAATCATTCACCATCATGAGTGTCAGACCAGATGCTAATTTCAAGCCGATCCAGGATATGGGTCCTGCAGGAGGCTGGGCCAAGGTACGAGATATAAGAACAAAAAGAAAACAACCCAGTCGTTGGCTGTGACTGTTACTAATATTTGGTGTCAAATTTGACCTCTTCAACTTTGATTTTCGTCACACATAGACTCCTCTTGAACTCTCAAGAGGACGACGTGGACCCAAAGGCTGGCAACTGTTTCTAGGAACCTCAGTTGCAATCTTCTGGGGCTTCTCCCGTGTGGGTGCTGGAAACAAGAAAAGGAGTGAGCAAAAGCTTTTTGAGCGACAAGAGCGATATGCACTTGCTCCTCTACTTCAAAACGAGGCCGACCGCGAATATCTTTTGAGGGAGAAGAAACTCCAAGCTCAAGAGGAAAATATCATGAGCCAGGTTCCAGGATGGAAGGTTGGTGAATCTCAATACCATGGTTCACGATGGACCCCTGCCCATGTTATGGATTCCAACAAGAGCAATATCAAGAAGTAAAGTATTGATCGTCTTGTCATCGAATCAAAACTTAATGAAAGTCTAGCTATCATCGAATATTTTATCCTTCGTATTTTCTTGGTACCGTCAGCTATCGTCCACTAACTTGAAACTAGTCGTGTTTTCGTGAACACACCTACTGTAGACCTAGGGCGGCTGTAGCAACGCCTAGACCATTATCTTGTCTCGTCCGCAAACAACCATACCGTCCCTTGTACAGCATGGTTCGCGATGTAATGCGTTATTACCCGATCGCCCGATACACGTACATGTAACTGGTGTACTTACCAGGTACAGTACCGGTACTGAGGCAGTGGGAATTCCCCCTTTTCATTTTATTTCATCCCCGCTATATTTAACGCGATTTCCCACAACTACAGTACGTTGTGGGAACAGTTTTTTGCCGAAAATTCCCACAACTACAGTACATTGTAGTTGTAGGAATCGGAAATATCACGAAAACAATATGAGTTTTTGGAAACATCATATGTAGTTGTATAATTTTAGTCAGTACATATCAAACGTTGTTTTGTGCGTTGTGGGAATTCCCTCAACAGTTGTGGGAAAACTGTCATTTCTACACACAAAACCACGTAGGATATGTACTGAGACAAATTTGAAGTTTCCCACAACTCTAATTGTAGTTGTGGGAAGTTTCCCACAACTATAATTGTTTTATTGGGAATTATGGGAAAACTGTCCGTTCTACGGAAAACTGTCCGTTCTACACACCAAACAACGTTTGATATGTACTGACTAGAAATTAGACAACTACATATGATGTTTCCAAAAACCTCTAATTGTTTTCGTGATATTTCGTAATACATTTAAGGGAAAAAACGGACAGCTGCGCAACGGAAATTCCCACAACTAGTTGTGGGAAATTCCCACAACTAGTTGTAGGAATTTCCCACAACTATTTTTTAAGATTCCTACAACTAGTTGTGGGAATTTTTGGCAAAAAACTGTTCCCACAACTACAGTAGTTGTGGGAAATCGCGTTAAATATCGCGGGGACGAAATAAAATGAAAAGGGGGAATTCCCGCTGCCTCAATGTGGTAATACCGTCGATCTATGTGCTATGTGTACGCATTATGTTACGCGAATAACATGGTACACTATGTAAGCATGTCGCACCTTTCCAGCCAGCTGCACATTTCCAGCCAATCAAAATGCTCACCCAAACCAAACAAACTGGACGGTCCGTCCGCCGCTCAAGAAGCCCATTTCATCTCATCGGGAGACCCATCTCCTAAAATCACCCACAGACCTAAAATAAAGTTTTTCTCAAAACAAAAGTCTTAGCTTAGGTCCTTACCTTGCATCTTATTGGGTGGGGCTGTCATCATTATGCTCAGGGAAGTCACTGTAGCTCTAAAAGTTGCCACTAGGGCTGTTGTGGACTGAAATTGAAAATTTACAACTGCCTGAAATTCATCAAAGAATGCTACAATCAAGCTATTAATCGGAACTCAGATTGCCCATGAGTGATATCAGGTCACACTGTACTCATAAGGCACCAAAACAACCAATGATCTGAATTGCTGTCAAAAGCATCAATTACTGTACCTTCTCGGCTGCAGTGAATGTCTAGAGCATAATCGTGATGACCCCACCCACTGGCAATAGGATGTAAGATAAGGACCTAAGCTAAGACTTTTGAATGGAGAAAATTTTTATTTTAGGTCTGTGGGTGATTTTAGAACCTGGGTCTTCCGCCATAATAGGGTCTGACGAGCGGCGGACGTACCATGGAAACACATCAAAGAGGAAAATTGAACAAGACAAAATACCAGTGAACTTTCCGTCTACAATATCTCTACATAAAAGCAAGCAATCAAGCAATCAAGCAGCAATTACAGCATACAGTATAAACCATATTCATAAAACTAATGCAACTGTTACACTAGATTTGAATGGAAGATTTTTGTTCTCTAGCCGTGAAAAATCGTGCAGGCTTCAGCCGACCAGCAATCCTATGCTGATACTCCCGCCAGAGTTCGTTTAATGATCTGGGATTGCCAAATAGAATAGCCATGTTCAGAACTTCGATTGGACCAACATCTGCATTTGCTCCGCTTGCTGGAAGTGGTAGTGTATCAATCTGCGACCAGTATTTGCTTGTTGGAGTTGGATTCGCAAGCCACCTTCAATTGTTCCGCCATTTGCACGAATGTTGTTGTTTAGAATTCGATCACGATGCCGGATGTAGGCTCTCAAATCTTGAAAAATTTGTATGAGATCGAGCAGCAACTTTGCTCAATTGTTGTTGCAGTTGCTGGATACTTATCTGGATGCTTTGGAACAAGTCTCCTAAGTTGAGTTCCCTGCCACCACGCCTCCACCAGCATCAGTGCCCCCATCACCGTCTATAATAGTAGCCTCATCAATCGTGAACTGGTCGTCCCTCCTTTTTTGGCTGGTTGTTGTATATCAGGCAGCAATATATGAGCGGCACTGTGGATTATCTGATGGCATGATTCTGCCAATGCCAAGTAGCCTAGTCTTCTGGTGGTGCAAAGCGCCTCCTTCCAGCGTCCGAATGGTCGTTATTGGCTGCTGCTTCCTCCATCACGACGTCACTGTCCATATTTGCTTGTTCTTCTGCAGTTGTTTGACCCTACATCTCTCAAAGAAGAAGGATTGAGAAAGTGTAATTTTCCTTTTGTGGATGAATAATACTGTCTTGTGATGAATATACTGTCAGAAAGTTATATAATAATACTTGTGATACGGTAGAATATTTTTAAAAGGCGAAAAGTAACTTTTTTGTTTGAGCGATGGATATCCTGCCTGAAAATTACTTATGGTACGACAAGAATATTTATGGCAAAGAGTAAGAGCATCTCCAGCCAAGGCCGTCAATCGATTAGATAGAATAAATGTGATTGGCTGAAATCGGAAGACGCGCAGACGCTTTATGACTTTGCCTGGAAAGAAGCATTCGTCAGTCTTGCCGTCTATCCAAAACTGAGGGAAGTGCCTTCCAGCCAAAAAAACTTTGTCAATCTCATGAATCACACTCCGTTCAAGAACATAGCCCTCTTTTACATAGCATCGTAATGAACGAGAAGAAGTATCATGATCTGCAATATGACCTATTTGAAATATAGATAGTTGGAGTTACAATTAAAGTAATATCCTATTTGAGCAAAATTGTTAGAATAAAGCAAAATGTGCTCTATCGTGAGCGCCTTTAGCGCTCAGAACAAACTCTCTGCAATCTAAATTTGTAATCAACTGTACAACACTTTCACGACAATAGTTCTCCTGTGTTAGGTATACTTTGAGTGAAATTGTTCCTATTTGATTAATGTTT